GAAATTGTTAGTGGCAAGAGAAGAGAGCCCTGCTGTCCTAAACCACCCATTGGGGAACAGCCTTGAAGGGAGGTGGGAGGACACATAAAAGGCACAGCTGCAAATGGGACAAGTTAAGGGTTATAAATATTTTCTGTCCTTTCTTATTGCACAAATGCATTGCATTCAGAGACTGTGATTCGCTGGGCTGCCAGGAGCATGGTGTGTGGCTGCAGGAAGGAAGGCCCCTTTAATAGGAATCACCTGCCTGGGGGCAAGGTGTGAGTCTTGCTTTTCCCCAGGACAGAAAACCCATCTTCAGATCCTGACACTGTGCAGCAACTAAAGGGCATTGGTAGGAGTTGAGGGTTTGCAGTAATACCAAGTCCAGTACACTTATCCAGTTTGCCTCCCTTTGTATCAGAATCAATGATATTCCGAGTCGAGTTGCTATGTCTCGGCCAACACAGCACCAAAATGTGTGGATGCAAAATTATTTTTACAAGGATCATGATTCAGATCAAAATTGTGTCATTTGCATACTGTTTTTCTGCAAAAGCTGGGCAGGGCATTTTGTAGAGAAGACATGGTTATGAAAGATGGGGAGTACAGAGCTAAGGCCTTTTCCCCCAAAAAAGAAGCAGCTTGGCATTGCTTAACCACCAGGAGTCCAGGCAAGATATTAGGTACCTGATGCTGCTCTGTGCCAGGCAGCCTTGTAAATCAGTGGGCTGCCTACATGCTCACTGCCCTCTTGGGGCTTGCATTCATTCCAGCACCAGCGAGAGTCCTTCAGTCCCGGGGCCCAAGCTAGTGGGTTGTCAGTACAGCAGGCTCTCCAATAACATCGTTTTGTTACAATGCTGATGAGGCGCAGTGGGCACTTAGGTCTTGTGTGTATCAATTAGCCTATGCCCATGGTCGGCAAACTGTAGCTCACGAGCCACATGCGCTCTTTGGCCCCTTGAGTGTGGCTCTTCCACAAAATACCACTGCCTGGGAGAGTCTATGTTGAAGGAGTGGCATTAGAAGAAGTTTAAGTTTAAACAATTGGGCTCTCAAAAGAAATTTCAGTCGTACTGTGGATATTTGACTCTGTTGACTAATAATGAGTTTGCTGACCACTGGCCTATTCTATAATATAAGTTAGTTTTGTTATTAGTATGTCATTTCGCTTACAGCCGCAGCATCTATTGAGGAAGTGAAGGAAGGACTTATTACATATCAGGGGAGTTCACGGCAGCCTTGTCCAGATTAACAAATAAAGAGAGGAAGACAGAGGAAGGGAGGGAGGACAGGAGGGGAAAGGAAAGAGTGGGAAAGGGGCATTGAAGATAGGAAGGAAGAAAGAGGAAGGACATGCTCATTAGTGATGATGACTAACCAGAGACCAGCAGGCCCCTTGGCCAGTCCTCAACTGGCAACAGGAAAGCGAGAGCTGAGCTTTTCCATCTGGGAGACTCCCACACTCTCTCCAGGAGGCTTTGCTCCAATGCATGAACAATGCAACCAGCTTAGTTTACCTAAGGGGCCCCGGGCCTCCAGGAAAGCAATATTTACACCAGGAGTTGAGGTGAGGTCTTCCCTGTGTCCCTCTATCAAAATAAGAACCCTTCACATATGGCCTGTGTAGAGAAGCCCGGAGAGCCTTGTGTGAAGGCCCATTGTTCTGCATCAGGAAGGACATTTTCTCTGTGTAGGAAACGGGGTGCAGGTGGAACCCTGGCTCTGCACTTTGAGCAGCCTGTGCCCCCCTCCGCTTCTTCGCTTCTGTTTCATGTTATCTCCCAACATCTAAATCCTCCAAGAATTACTGTAAAACCCGCTTGTCGCTGAGAGGGATCTCGCCTGGCTCACTCGGCACCGCAGCCGGCGATAATGAATGGGTCAGCATAATTACCGTGTTTCCTCACACTGGCAGCCAGCTGCTCCACCAGATTGTGAATCTTTCATTTTCTTTATTTCAAAATCCAGGGCGTTCCTAGGAAAACTTAATGTTGGAACTGCGGGGAGATGGAGTTGGAGTCAAAGCCGTGCCCCCTCATTTTCTCCCCGGGCCTGAAGCTAACACCTCCTATCTCATTAGTTGTGGGCTTTTATGATATTAGGGTTGACTGCTTTCCCCATGAAGACCAACGCTTCTCTGCAATTATTTAAAACCGGCGCCAGGAGACGTGGGTGCTAGGGGCTGGCAGGCGGAGAGCTAAGTACAGTGGCAGCATTTGTTTTTAACAATAAAACAGGGTCCAGCCCAGCTGCGTGGCTCCGTGGTTGAACATCAATCTATGAACTAGGACCATGGTTGGCGAACCGTGGCTCTTGAGCCACATGAGGCTCTTGAGCCCCTTGAGTGTGGCTCTTCCACAAAATATTATACCATGGCCTGGCCAAGTCTATTTTGAAGAAGTGGCATTAGAAGAAGTTTAAGTTCAGAAAATGTGGCTCTCAAAAGAAATTTCTATCATTGTACTGTTGATATTTGGCTCTGTTGACTAATGAGTTTGCCGACCACTGAACTAGGAGGTCACATTTGGATTCCTAGTCAGGGCACATGGCCGGGTTGTGGACCCCATCCCCAGTGTGGAGTGTGCAGGAGGCAGCTGATCAATGATTCTCTCTCATCATTGATGTTTCTATCTCTGCTTCTCCCTTCCTCTGTGAAATCAATTAAAAAATATATTTAAAAGCAGTTAAAAATAACAGTATGGTCTTAGACACAAATAGAAAGATGGAATCATCCTGGCATGGTCCAGCCATCCTAGCATTTACCATCCTCCTGAGAGAAAGATATGGTGCAATCCCCAAAACAGGTCGGCAGGGGACACAGAGAATTCTGAATGACAGCCAGTCAGTCTTCATCTCAACTTCAAGGATCAGAGTCCAACCCATGCAGGTGCATGAGATGGTATAGAATTGGGAGTGACTTCTGTGGGAGCCCTCTCCTCTCCCTGCCCTCTGCCCCCCACCACACAGATGCAAGCTCACTGTCCCAGGGCGGGGAGCAATGGGATGAGATGGGGTGGAGTGCATGTACCATGAAGTGTGACAGTCAGAAGGGGAAAGCCCCACTTGGCAGACATGGGGTGGAGACCACTTTAACGCAACAGGAAATACAACACCCGGGAGCAGTTAGGTGTTTCATACAATAGAGTCCCAGGAAGAGGGAGGTGTGGGTGTGTTGAGTTAAGGAAGTAAAAGAGCTTCCTTGGCCATGAGTTCTTTCTTGGCATTTATGTCATGGCCAAAGGGAATGGAGACCTTCCCAGCATGGCACCTCATCACACTGTGAAAGCCTAGGGACATGGGGCAGGGATGGAGGGCTGTGGAAGGGAGGAGACCCATCACACCCTGGCTCATCTCATGTGACTTCCCCTCTTGGGAACTCCTCCAAGCTCCTGTGAGCTCAGTGGGATCAGAGGAGAAAATTGGCCAGGAGAGAGGGCTTGCTGGATGGCTGCCCACTCCTTGGCCTGACCATGACCCACAAGTTCATTCACTTGGCCAGGTAGTGACGCCATCCACACCTTCCTTCCGGGGCCCAGTGTTTAGAACCTGCTGTGGATGAAATCGGGGGCTCCTGTTGTTGACTTGGGGAGTCAGGAGGAGATGCAAAGATGAAAGGGCCATGGAGAAAGGCCTGAGGGAGCGTGCAGACTCACAGGAGAGAGAAGCATAACAAGTGACCGCCTTTCCTCTTCTCAAAGTCAATACCAAGATAAACAGTGCCCAGGAAAACGGAGTTTGTGTGGCGGGGATCACTGGTTTAGAGTGTTTCCCTCACTGTAGGACATCCTGGGCCTCCAATAGAGATCTCCCGAGACAGCGGGTCCCCACATGTAGTTTCCTTCCCAAAAAAACACCCTCTCTGTGTCTTGGGGTTTGGGCGACAGTGCCTGCTGCTTAGTGGGATGGGACCGCAGGCCTGCTGAGAGCTCCCGGGGAATCGGGGAAGTGGCAGGAGCTGGAAGGCAGCACCATTTCCTGAAAGCCTCCTGGGCTAGGATTTGCACGCCGTGGGAGGAAGGGCTCCCAGGCAACAGAATTAATTACCAGGGGTCTCAAGCATCACGCTTAATTTCCCTCTTGACTCCTCAGCAAGTTATCCTGCTCAGAGAATCCTTCCCCAGGGAAGAAAACCCTGCCCACACTCCCTTCTGAGCAGCTGAGTTGCCACACTTTTCTGTCATGGCTGTTACTGTGTTTTATAAGCTGCACAAATGGTTAGGGGGCTGATGGGACATTGGGAATGATTTGTTTCTATGTATACTCTTGATGCATACACACATCTGGAGGAGCACTGTATTTCAATTAACTTTTTTAAAAAGTAATATATGCACATAAATGAAAATATGGGAAATAACTAAACATTAGATGGGGAAAAGCTATGAACAGACAACTAACACCCATACAGTTCATCCTTAGAGATAAGTATGAACACATTGAAATGTATGTATTTTCAAATATTATTATATACACACAAATATGAATATGCATATATATACATTTATATACACATATGCACATACCCCTGCATATACATACACACACATATTGTGTACACAGTGCATGTACATATTCACATACACAGGCACAGATACATATCCATGCACATACATACACATATGCATATTGTGTGCTCACACACATAAATATATATTACACACTAGACATGTGTGTGTGTGTATGTGTATGTATATTTATGGATAGATGGATTGATAGGTGGATGGGTGGAAGGATGAATACATAGACAATGTTGAGAACACATTGCACATACATATTGCAATCTACCTTAAAAATAAAGGTTCGTGCAATGAACTTTAATCCTGTATTTACGAATTCCTTGTCAATGTTTTCATTTGGCACATTTTCTTAGCCACCATGACCATCGTAACTAGCCCATCCCCTCTGGAATTGGGCCTTGGCCCTTGACCCCTGCCCAGCTGCCACCTTTAGACCCCTGGCTCCTGGAAGTGTGTGTGGATGTGAAAGTCTTAGCCTTGCTCTCTCCTCTCGCCCTTCAGTGCCTGGCTTTCCGTATCCAGCCGCCACCGCCGCTGCCGCCTACCGAGGGGCGCACCTGCGAGGCCGTGGTCGCACCGTGTACAACACCTTCCGGGCCGCGGCGCCCCCGCCCCCCATCCCTGCCTACGGAGGGTAAGTGGGCTGCCTCCTGGGCGGGCCCCCCTGCACCACCCCTCCTGTTTGTGCATGTAGGTCTTGACTGCCCCCTCAGAACACCCAGCATGCGCCTGGCGCCTGCAGTGGAGCACCTTGCAAAGAGTATTGAGAAATGAGTGTAATTTGTCCTGTCATGGTTGGTGCCTCTAAGCATCCTACATGTCACATGTTGTTATGTAAATCCTCTCTGAGACTGAATGCTGGAGAACAGAGAAATGGTTACAGCCAGAGATGCATTTCTGATGATTGCAAACATCTGGTTATTAAGGAGGTTGGATCACATTTGTCCCTTGAATCTGTCCATGGAGGGACATGAGGTTTCTCAAACATAAAAATCACTGGCGTGGTCTTGCTCCCCTTCTCTAAGATACCTTGAGCTTCAAGGTTTATGAGCTCTTGCTGAGAAGAGAAAATTAGGTGTGGAGTCAATGCAAACATTCACACATTCGATGACAGTGGAATTAAGATTTGTTTTAACTGGACTTTCCAAAATGGCATTTGTCTTTGTTTCCCTGCTGCAAAGAAATCCAAGTTCCTATGACCCCCATTGCCAGTTGGGTATTCCTGTGCATGGACTTTGGTATTACCAGAAGACTATCCAGGAATGATGGTGAATGCTCAGGAAAAACAAAACAAAACAAAACAAAAACAAAAACAAAACAAAAAACAACACGGTACTGGTGTGGCAACCTTTGACCTTGAGATGCTTCCCTTTCTCCTTCCTGAGAGCTCCCGGGGAATCGGGGAAGTGGCAGGAGCTGGAAGGCAGCACCATTTCCTGAAAGCCTCCCAGCCTGCAAGTTCCTCCTGGCACATTCCTGTGCACTCAGAGCCAGGGAGAGAGGGATGTCTCAGAGGCAGTGATCCTCAGGGGACATTTGTAATCTCTGGAGATGTTCTTTGGTTGTCACAACAGGAGCTAAGAAATGCAATGACATCCAGTGGGTGGAGGCCAGGGATACAGTAAAGATCCTACAGTGCACAGAGCGGTCCCTGTCCCCATACAGAGAGTCATGGGGCCCTAATTATCAATCAAGCTGCTGTCAGGAAAACTCAGTTATGTCCAGGACAGCCTGGCAGGAGGCTTCCCTGGCCGGTGTCTGGCTTTCTTGTCTATAGAAAGAACATGGCTGTATTCAGCACTATGTGGAAAGGGTTAAACACATTTTTTATAGCTCTGTTGCTTAGAAATCTTTTAGAAAATTTGAATCAGCCCAGATCATCTATTATACTGAGTGAAATATTTATTCATATCTCACCCACTCCAAAGGACAGCGTTTGAAGTGTTTTGAAAACAAATGCAGTGAGACAAAGCTAAGACAATAGAGAAATGAAAGTGGGTGAAATTGTCAGGAAGAGGGGGGCAAAGGCAGAGAAATAAGACAAAATCCTTTGTTTCTGGTGTTGTCATTAGAGATATGCCAATTCCAAGCTTCTTAGAAGATGAAATACGATAAAAAAAAAAAAGAAGAAGAAGAAAAAAAAATTGTGCTGAAAAGATGGTGGATAATAAACCAAGGATGAATTGGCCCTAAATTCTCTCCATCCTCCAAAATAATGTATCTTCATGTCCTAAGCCTCATGTATTTGACCATGTGATAAATGGCATTACTGACAGTATCATCATTATCTTCAGCCCCCACAGTATTAGGTCTATTTTGTAGATCCAGAAAGGCAGAAGTAAAGACTTGTTATTCCCAAGGTCATATAATGAGTTATGAAAAAGAAGAAGAAAAAAAAAAAAAAACAAGTTACCCGCCAGGCTCATGTGATTACTAAAGCAAGATTCATAAGCCATAAATACAAAATTGCATGTTTATACCCCATTAGTTTGCCTGGAAAACATTATCTTGGTAGCTGGTAATTGTAGCTTTCCGGTATATGTACCTTCAGTATCTCACTACTATATAGAACAGAAAAAAAAAAAAAAAGTAAAATTATATGGCTTATCCTCACATGAACAATTTATAAAAGTCTCAGAATAACACACCTGCTGTAAAATTGAAATTTGCTAACTTATAATGAACTTGCTCTTTGTGGGGAATAACCATGCATAACTAATTAATGTCATGTTCACCAGGGAGAGACACAGGCATCTCCAAATGGTGAAACAATGTGTTTGTGACTGCCTCGGACATGATTTAATTTTAATATTCCAGGGGTAGCTCTAATTATTTTGTTTATAATGGTGGATTGTGCCTCTTTGCTGACAATATTGACTGGGATTCTGAACCCAAGTTTAGTAGTAAGGTAAAATTCTTAAGATGGGAGGAACAGAAAGAGCAGAAGGGCTTGGGGTGAAGGGGGTGTCCATGCCTGCAACTTCCGTAAGAGCCAAGTGCTGGTGGGAAAGGAGAACATGCAGCCAGTTGCCTGGTGTTTTGCCAGATTACAAATTGGCTGGACAAATTGGCTCTGAATGTAAAGGCAGGAACCCAGCATCTTAAATGGTGGCTTCCTTTTTCCTCTGGCTTGTTCGGTATAGGCCACAGAAGACATCAGGGGGCAGCTCACCTTGGAAAGAAGAGCAAACAGAGATTGGCTGGAGGAGAGAGGGCCCTGACGTTGCGATGAATGGCAAAGAGGTTGGAAACGCACTGCTGTTTCCGGGAAGAGGCATTGTCAGGATTCAGGTGGTCCAGGAGATAGTGTGGATTTCCTGTAGCTGTTTTGCCTCCTTTGGAGGCCGATTTCTATATTTGACTGATGTCTTTGACGGATGAGGCCACTGAGGCAAATGACTCCCTTGGAGGAATTTCTTCCAGGGTTTTGGGGAGAAAAGGGTGCCATGTAAGTGAACAAGTTCAGTAAATGTGGTGTGAGCACCAAGGAAGGACTTGAATGTTTAGAGAAGGCTTCTAAACACCCAAGTCTAGGAAGAGATATAGAACTCATTTATGGCCAATCATTTCCTAAATTTCTACATTAAGGTCTCAGTCTGTGATTCTCCCTCACACCCAGTGACCCCCACCTTTTTTAAGACGTTGGCTAGCAAACTGCATTTGTTAAGAAAAAAAATATTTTCCCCTTATTACTAATTGAAGTCTGCCAACCTAAACCTCTGTTCTTCATCAAGTATATGAATATACTTTGTTATTAAAATTCCAAACAAAAATGTGTCATTTATCCAACATCCATGTACAGTTTCCATATTGTTTTTTCCCCAAGAGATATAAAACGATCCCACAGAACCTCCTTGGCAGCTTTTGTGGAGTCCCGGGTGAGCCTTGGAGTATCCAACATCAAGATGGGTATCTAGGACGGCTTACCCAGGATCCATCCATTTCCTTTTATTGATTTGCTTCCCCCTCCACATCCTGATACTTTCTGAGGTCCCTCTCAGCAAGTGAGGAACACAGGTTATGGAGGGGCCCTATTTCTCTTTCTTACATACTAAATACAATAGAAGCATCTTGGGACATTAAAACATGACCAGTCCTTCAGGGACTGGGGCTATAGAAGCTCTGCTTGGACCATGAAGGGATCCTAGAAATGAACACAAAATCCTGGACTGAACATCCTACCCCCTAGTGATTGCCAGCATCCACTGAATTAGAATGAGTGATGAGTTAGAAATCTAGTGTTTATACAGTCTAAGGGTTGTTACAGTCCTAAAAAATGTTTTTGGGGAAGATGATATTACCACCACTACCACCATTCTACCTCATACTACCCTGGGTGGCAGAGGTAACCCATGTAAGTGCAATTCCCTTAACAGGGGAGTGAAGACTGTGTCTGCCTCCATTGGGTTGATAGGGGATGGGATAGGAGATCCATGTAAAGCTACAACTTAGTAGGAGGGTCCATCATGTGATTGGAGTTTAGTGCACTATAGCTAATGTTATTGAGAATGGTGCAGTTGCTGCTCCTTTGTCTCTCTCTGTATGGCACCACTTACTCCTTTGCTGGGAGGCACCTGCAGTTCACAGATGGACATTACCCACAAGCCACAGAGATGGCTTTGATTTGCAAAGGTCAATTCAATAGTTTGTGGAATATGTAGATTGTAAATAAAATATTAACTAGTGAATAGTCTCAACAAGAGCTGAAGGAACCAAGTTTTCCATAGTCCCCCTTGCATTTGATCATGGAGTTAATTTTGCTAGAGAAGCCATAATGTCCAGTCTATCTTTTTATAACTTATAATTGGGAGAAATTACCCATTGGGTAATCACCATCGGTGGAGCTTGCAGACTGATGATTTGTGGGTGACAATGGAAGGTAGCCCCCAGACACAGTATTTTCTTTGATGCTAGATGACAGCAACAAAACCCCATTCACTCCCAATGGAATTTCATGAGGTGAGCTTCTCCACATTCTTATCCTTAAGTAGTTAAGTAATTACAAACCAGCTACTTATTAAGCACCTACTATGTACCATGCATATTTTATGGGGCTACAGAAGAGCACTCTAATGGAGCATCATGGGATATTTTTAAACTATTCCAATCCAAGCATCAGCATCTGCTATACGGTTTTGGCATTGGTTGGCGGGATATCAGTGAGTGTGATATTCTGTACTTTCTCAGATAATTAATTATGACGCATATATGTGCAACTTCTCAGAGTCAGCATAAGAAGTATTTTGAGGAGACTACTCTAGGTACAAGACAGGTATAGAAATATCCCAGGAGAGCACTTCTGAAAGGTACTAGTGCAAGAATCAACCCACATTTTTGAGAAATCTTTTGGATCCTGGAATTTAGGTCCTAAAAACTTGAATAACCAGCCTCTAGGACTGTGTATGTACCTTTCTGTCTGTAAATCAACCGTGCTTTTTGATTTTCATCTTTAAATGTCTGCTTTTCAGACTATAGTAACTGATACTTAGGCACTTTCAAATTTAGTGGAAACACTCAAACTAAAGTCATCACTACCCATTCTCAAATATTTTCTAGGATTCTGTCCAGCTTTTTGTTTTTGATGTAATTCAGATTCTTATTCAGATCCTCAGCCAGTTTTGAAGTATAACCTCT